GCGGAGGTGTTTTCCATCAAAGCCATATATAGGACAAGAACTACATTGTTGTTCTTTACCAATTACAATTCATTTACTGGAGTAAGGCTTGTGGGACATGAGCATTGCACAAACAAAAAGCTTTTTATTTGTGTCATGGTAATACCACTTTTTCATGCACCTTGTTTTCTTGGACATGGTACTGCCATGTGTTTGGACATTGTCCCTTGACGAATGGTAGTTGCATATGCACCACAATAATACAATGTTTTGGACATTTTACTTTGGGAATGTGATGTCTTTTCTACCTTCTTTTACTAAAATGCACCAAAAAGTGCCATGGCACTACACTGTTCTCTTGGACGTTGTACTATGCTATTTTGGAAATGCATTTTTATTTTTGGACATAGTACCACAGTAGTTTTTTTTAGGGTGCACACTTGTAATCTACATTAATTAGAACAAATCCATGTCCTGCAGATAATATGCTAAAAAGCTGAAAGGCTTTGTAAACATGCATCTTGTGTTTAATAGAAAATGCATTGCGATTTCACTTATCTTACTCATATTTGCTCCATCACAATACATATCTGCCTCAATACTAAACAAACCAAACGAGTCAGGCTACTGTGCCACTGTATGAGCCACACCGAATTCATTTTATGTAGAATCTGTATTACATGTGTAATGTTTATAAAATGGTTTACAAGAAATTACCTAAAGGAATAGTTCACTGTGTGTATATTGAAAATCCTAAAAGATTCCTACAATCCTAGGCTAAAATCAGTAGTCTTTGATCGTTAATTTGACATGTTCACCGACAGCCGATTAATGGCCGTTGCGATCAAATTTGGTCTCCGACGAAATTCTGGCAGTGTCAGAAGATTTGGCACACAGTCCTGCAGTGTGACTTCTCCTACGACGAACATCAAACTGTCTTCGTTTTTCCAAGACAAGCCATGATCAGAATCAATGCTAGAGATTTCTTCTAACTGCATAAACTCCGGCGCTCTCGTCCTCCACTCACGGAATTCATCTGATTCGTTGTCTTTGCTATGATAAACACTGGTTGCGCTGCTGTTTTCATGTGGGTGTGTAGTGCTGCTTGCACTATTCTGCATAAATACGCCAGTATTGCCGCCATTCATATACTTTTAATGATAGCCAACATTACAGCCCCGTGCAATGCAGCTCGCAGTCACTGAACGTGTATGGGTTGATAAAGTAAAACTCGGGACAAGTTTTCTTGCGTGCACCCGTTTTTAACGCGTCTTGACTCGTACAGTCTGACATTAATGACAACTGAGATCCCACAGTGTGACATGATCATCATGTTCGTACAGTCTGACAAGTACAATCCTAAAGGACTTTTAAAAACCCGCTCTGAGTGAGCTATGAACAGTCGATCGCCATTGTTTCGATGCCGGAGCAGGGACGTAGACAAGAATGGCTCCTAAGCGATTGAGGTGTTCTGTTGCTGGATGTAATAATGAACATAGCATTCGTCATTTACTCCCGACATCTGAGCCGCTAAAGACGCAGAGGATTAACTCTACTTTCGTTTTTAAAGGGAATGCCTTTATGTCCTCCAATCTACCTAAATGCGAATAATTCGTGATCCAGCTTCATCTACAGATGAAGTGAGTATAAGGGTTTTTTATGAATCTTTGCAAATCGCCTTTCCCAATAATGTGCTATTTAGCAAGTTTTGCGGCTAAAGTAAACTTGACGGCTCGTCACCCCACAGAAGAGAGGTGTGACGAGAGCTCATTAGCATTTAAAGGGAAATGCAACAAAATGGGTTTTGCAAATCGTCTTTCTTAATAATGTGCTAGTTAGCCAGTTTTGCGGCTAAATGCAGCTAAATTCAGCTAAAGTAAACAGGACGGCTCGTTACTCCGCAGAAGAGAGGGGCGGGGTCAGCAGAACTCATTAGCATTTAAAGGAAAAGGCAACAAATGGGTTGCTGTGAAAAGAGCTGATTTTAACAAGGTAAAAAGGGTGTTCGTTACACTACTATTGAGACATTTTAACCAAAGTATGTTATAGAATTTTCATTAAGACCATAAAGAATCATATCAACTTGTGGAAAACGGGCATCCGATGACCCCTTTAACTTCAAACCATTGCTTCTGGCTTAAACCTTCTGTCTGAGTCCATAATCCATAATAACGCTTCCTCCAGTGAAAAAGTGGTCTGGTCTGAATCTGGAGAGAAATCTGCGCAAATCAAGCACCATTTACAAGCCAAAACAGTCCACAACAGGTCTAAACAAATGTGTGGCTGGATTTTGATGTGAGAGACAACAGAAGATGGACTTTTTAACTGGAGGAAGCGTTATTATGGACTCGTATTTTAGCCAGAAGCAATGGTTTGAAGTTACAAATGTCTTAATGATGGATTTGATTCTTACAAACATGCAGCTTTTGTTTTCTCAAGACGTTAATTGATGGACTGGAGTGGTGTGGATTACTTGTGTTTTTAGCAGCTTGTTTGGACGGTACCCATTCACTGCAGAGTAAGCGATGTAATGCTAAATTTCTCTGCGGCCCGACCTTCACCTGTTTTATTGGAAAACTAACAGCACACTTTTTCTCAACAGGAGGAGACCTGAGGCATCATTTAGGTCTATAGCACCGATGATTATCGATTGAAGTTTAATACTAAGTTTGAGCAGAACGTAATCCTGATGCTCGACTGAAAATCTCAGTTGGTGCTTCTCTTAGTGATGTGATTCTTAACCAAACACAGTCAATTTTCCATCCTCTCCCTCATTTTCCATTCTAATAATATGACTATGACCCGCTGGGGTCTCTGTTTAGTGAGGGTGTTTGAAGCTTCCACAAAGCCATGGCTTATTTTAGCTCCACACCTGCTTTACTGCTACAAGAGGACGTTCAGTGAGGAACCAGACTCCTAGAAATATCCTTGACCTCAGCTGCTCTCATGGAAAAGAAGAGCATTTGTTGCTTTGCATTTTTTTTCCACTGAGGTCAAAGGTCACTCGCTGTCCTAGCTCATATTTATCTCTTGAAGCCACTTATGAAACAGTTGTTTTTCTCTGCCATGCATGACTTTCATCCCGGTGTTGTTTAAAATCAGGCTTATTATGTAATATCGGCATTTACAAAGAGGTCTATTTTTAGCAGGAACTTGGATTAAGTGTGGAATTTGAAACTATCCCATAAAAACAATGGAAAATGTGTTAGCGAAGAAGGCCAGGTGTATGTCAGGCTTACTAAATTATAAATAAACAAGCTGTGCTTTTCCATAAGACAGAGCACTGCACAAATCTGATGTAAAAGTGAAGTCGGTCATTTTTTTACATCTCCGGTTTTTATACGGAAAGATTATGATATTTCTATATATATATACATATATTAACTTTAATTTTGGCATTATTAAATAGCTCTGATACTGTTTAAAAATGAATTATCTTTCTCTATGAAGCTGAGTGACTAAATTGTGATTCATTTAAATTATGTCATGAATTGATTAAATAAAAACCATGTTGTGATTGTTCTTTTGAACGTAACACGCTGAATGGTCATTCTGCATATTATAGGCCTTCCCTTGAAATGTAAACCTGGTTCTGCGTTCTCTCTGTCACCTTTCATAGCAGAAACTGTGACTATATGTTTGAAGTGAGTTAGAAGCTAATGCAGAGATGGTGTGTCGCACTATGGCTGCGTGTGCCCCAGGACAGATGACATGAAATACTTCTGAAGCTGATGCATTAGAAGTGGACAGCGTGTACCTACAGTACACAGAATGTATTTACCCCTTTAGTACAGTAAATACAGGATAATGGTGGGTATACATTATGAATGACTTACACAGCCAGGTTTAGGCTGCTCTGTGTCTGCTCAGAATTCAGTGCAAAATGCAAAGCCAGACTAAATGATGCTTGCTCTGAGGCACTTCAGCCCCTAGTAGCAAAGTAGCCTAGAGTGTTTTTTTACAATATAAATAAATGCATTAATGCCAGCTCTGAGCAATAATAAACAGTCTGTATAAAGCCGCCTAAATGCCACTTCAGAAAAGCTTCTGTGCCACCTTTACAGTGTAAATTAAGCAATTAGATAAAACGTTTGTCAAGACAGATAGAAGCGGGGTGGTGCGATGCAGTTGTTTGGATATTCTGGGTGGTTGCTAGGGTGTTGCTATGCGGTTGCTAAGGTGTTCTGGAGTTGCTACATGCTTACTAGTGTGATCTGGGTAGTTGTTACTAGGCAGTTGCTAGATCGCTCTGGGTGGTTGCTTTGGGGTTGCTTAGATGTTCTGGATGGTTGCTAGGGTATTCTATGTGGTTGCTAGGATACGCTATGTGGTTACTAGGGTGTTTTGGGTGGTTTCTACTAGGCAGTTGCTCTAGATGATTTCAAAGGTGTTCTAAGTGGTTGCTAGGAGGCTGCTAGAGTGTTGTTATACAGTTGCTAGGGTATTCTGGGTGGTTGCTAGGGTGTTGCTATGTGGTTGCTAAGGTGTTCTGGAGTTGCAAGGAGGTTGCTAGCGTGTTGCTACATGCTTGCTAGAGTGATCTGGGTGGTTGTTATTAGGCAGTTGCTAGATCGCTCTGGATGGTTGCTATGCGGTTGCTAAGGTGTTCTGACGGATTGCTAGAGTGTTGCTATACAGTTGCTGGTGTGATTTGCTTTGTGGTTGCTTGGGTGTTCTGGGTGGTTGCTAGGCAGTTGCTATGTTGCTCTGAATTGTTACTATGCTGTTGCTAAGTTGTTCTGAGTGGTTTCTGGGAAGTTGCTAAATGGTTGCTAAAGTGTTTTGTGCGGTTGCTAGGGAATTGTTATGCAGTTACTCAGGTGTTCTGGGTGGTTGCTAGGAGTTGTCTATGTGGTTTCTAGCATGCTCTGGAGGGTTTCTGTTGCTAAGTTGTTTTGAGTTGTTGCTAGGGTGTTGTTATACAGTTGCTAGAGTGTTTTGATTGGGTGCTAGAATGTTGCTTAGGGTGTTGCTATGCAGTTACTCAGGTTTCCTGATGGTTGCTGTGCAGTTTAAATATGACAATGTTATAATAAATACAAAAATTAGGTAGTGTTCATTAAAGACAAATAAATGCATATGAGAATTATTATTGCACAGGTATTATAAACAGAATCAGAATATGATGTAAAGAATTTGCACCAATTTGCCACTGCTTTAATATTATGTCATTTAAATCCCTGCCATTTGAAGTAGCTCAAATGTCAGTATACTTTAATAGATCTACTGTAGATATTATGTAAATGGATCATATGTTCCATCATCATGTTCTTCTGTGCAGCCGGATATAAATATAATATGAGGGCTTATGTGTACCACCGCTCACATATCAGCACAACTATCCGCTGTCTCACCTCCACTGCTCTTTACATAACACCCATCTACTGTCTGCTTCCCTTTGCATTTTTTCCATCACCTTATTTCGGTTTCATATTTCCATTTTTCCATTGAGTCAGAGAGGCGCCGTCCTTCCACAGCGAGCACACAAACCGCTGGTCGGTGTAATATTTAGACAAGACTCACAGGTTACTGTCTAACCATGCAGTCTTTACCATCAACACATTCACACACACAAACAAGAGTGAGTTCACAGCAGTCAGCTTGTTTTCTGTTGCCATTTGGTCTAAATGGTTCCCACGGTCATAGAAAACAGAGACATGGCAGGTAGTTTTTAAAATTGTACTAGAATATTGCATAAAACAAAAGTTGTTCACAAGCTGTAGCAATGACTGATTTGTGAGCAAATCGTTTTGAGTCAGTTCAGTTCAATGAGCAAGCTTTATTTAAGAATTAATCATTAGCAAATGAATGAGAATGAATCAAATGATTTTAATTGGTGAAAAAGTGTGCACTGTTAGTAATGTTAATATACCAAAAATCAGTTTTAACCAAAATGCACTGATAACCAGCATAAAAGTGATTCAGGATAACACACATGACACTAAAATAATGCAATATAGAGCAACTAAATAACAGAAAATGTAACGCAAAGCACCCTAATGTACATTACTGATAAGAAAAAGAAACAGAAGCATTTAAATAATGTAAAAATAAAATAATGTGATATTTCATGCAGGGATATTTGGGAATGTCATTTTACTGTCAGTTATATAGTAATTCACTTGCAAAAACCATACATTTCACAGTATTTTTCACTGTTTATCATGATCTGTGGTACGGTTACTTACAGTTAACTAATTAACAAGTTATTAACCATTGTTTACCAATTTCTGAGAATGTTTTTTTGTCACTCAAAACATAAATTTGACAGTGTTTTACAGTATAATTGCATATAGTGGTAAACCGTATATGGTAAGATTACTTAGTTTACTAACTGGTTATTTCTGGGAATGTCCTTTTTACTGTTTTTCACTGTAAATTAAATTGCAAAACCAATTGCATTATTTTACAGTAAAAAGACATATAATACAATCTTAAACTATTTACAGATTTTAGCCATATATGATAAAGTTACCAATTAACAAGTTAACATCCATCTTTTTACCATTATCTTTAATAACCATCTTTTTACCATTTTCTGCAAATGTCCTCTCACTGTTTTTCACTTGCAAAACCCACAAATGTGAATTATTTAATGGTAAAATTACATATAATACAATGTTAAAAGTTGTACTATTTTTTGAGAATGTACTTTTTTCACTAAGTTATATGATAATCCACTGGCAAAAAAAATAAAAAAATTCACACTTTTTTTTTTACAGTAAAATTACATATGCAAACCATTTATATTTTCTCCACTGTGTATGTAAGGTTAACCAATTAAGTTTTTACCATATTTGGGAATGTTCTTTTACTGTAAATTATATAGTAATTAACTTGCATAAGACATAAATGTGACTATTTTACAGTAAAATTACAAATAATGCAATGTTAAACCATGAACAGTTTTTCCACCATGTATGGTAAGCCTACTTAAGAAGGTTAAACAATTGCCAGCATTTTTGCAGTGCTTTTCTGTAAAAGCTACAAACCGCTCTTGTTTTATAGGTAGTCTGATTATTATGAAATAGTTTTGGTATCAGGTGTAGTTCCTGCTTTTATGGAAACTTTGAAACTTTGTGCGTTAGCAATGTCACATTGTCAAATAATGGTAATAAATGATGTTAGAAAGTGTTTAAATTACAGATGGAACGGTGAGAGACAATAGGATTGCCAAGGCCTTGTGGAAACATGCTGAAGGGAGCGATGAGGATGTTGGACTGTGGCCCAGAGCTCAATGATGTCATGAGTTTCCAGTTCCTCATTAGGATTAGTCAGCAATGAAGAGTGAGAGACAGACAGAGAGAGAGAGGGAAATGAAGGGAGGGATTGAAGGTTAGGAAGGTAAAGAGAGAGAGAGAGAGGCCGTGCTCAACAGCTCTACTATAAGCAGCAGCAGCAGATAAACCTGTGAGTAAAGCCGTGACCTCGCAGCACTGCTGACCGTGCACTAGAAACTTCTGCTGGCACGTGCCTTGGAGGAATTGCATGCAATTTGCACAGGCTTCATTACAGAGTCTCTTATTCTTCTAAAACCGAATTATGCATCTTAAGACTACAAAGTGCAATAACTTCTGCCTGGTTGCTACACCGGTGGACCATGAGATATTCAGTCGGCCACAGATTCGGGTAAGACTGATTTGTTAGTGAGATGATCAAGTCAAGGTTTATTGACATTTGGATGCATTTCTCTTTCAGGTTCTGGTGCTAATTTAAATTCAACTAATCATTGCATCGTTTTTTGTTTTTACATTTGGTCTTCCATAAGCTTAAAGGTTTGGCTTCTATCATTACTTAGGACTCTAATGCATAAACTAATCTGCTCATGTTAGTCTGCTGATCTTGAGTTCTTACTTCTCCAGCCCTCCTGTGTTTAATGGCCTGTTTGCTATCTGAAACAAAATGATTGGAGGCTTGAAACAGAATGCTTTGTTTACATGTTTTATTCAGTTGATTTCTATTTTGAGTTTAGGGTTAGTAGGATATATTTTTGGAAGGGGCTGTATAGGAACTTTCAGCAAGGATGCATTAAACTGATCAAAGGTGACATTATAGGCATTTATAATGTTACAAAAGATTTCTATTTCAAAAAGATGGTTCGAACTTTCTATTCATCAATGTATCCCAAAAAATAAAATGCATCACCGTTTCCACAAACATTTGAAGCAGCACGACTGTTTTCAACATTGAAAATAATCAGAAATGTTTCTTGAGCAGCAAATCAGCATATTATACTGATTTCTGAAGATCATGTGACACTGAAGACTGGAGTAATGATGCTGAAAATACAGATTTGATCACAGAAATAAATTATATTTTAACATATATTTACATAGAAAAAACTTTTTTTAAATTGTAGTAATATTTCACAATTTTGCTGTATTTTTTGTATCAAATTAATGCAGACTTGGTAAGCAGAAGAGAATTCTTTCAAAAACAATAAAACATATTACAGACACCAGACTTTTGAACAGTAGTGTATGTTGGACCTCATTAATTAAACTTAAGCAGAATGAATTTCTGTTTAAATTGTTTATTAAAACCAATAAATTAACACTCCTCACATTAAATAATTGCAGGCAAGTGTGTTGCATGCATGAAAAAATACGAAGGAAAAAGAAAAACCCACAAACTGCTGGAGCTAGCAAGAAAGCCAATATTTAGAGAGATGACAGAAATGTTGCTGTCTTAATAAGATTCAAGATTCAAGATTCCTTTATTGTCACTATACAAATATAGTGAAATTTGAGCAATCCTAACAGTGCAGTCACATTTAACTTAAACATCTGTAATACAAAAAAAAATAAAAAAAAGACAAACAATACACAAGCCAATGCAAACAAGGGGATAGTGCAAAGTTAAGCCTTGTCTGCAATACAGTCAGCGATAAACGGTATGCAGTTTAACAATACAATACAAAGACAGTACAAACAAGGCGATAGTGCAAATTTAAGCCTTATTAAATATCGTATTGCGGATTTGTGCATTTCTCAGTTATCTGTTTTTGTTTTTGTGTATGCCGGCAATGTTCAGCTCTCTTATGACGCTGAGGTAAAAGCTGTTCTTGAATCTATTGATCCGTGCTTTAATGGACCTAAGACGCTTACCAGAGGGCAGCAGTTCTAACAGTTGATGTCCGGGCTGGGAAGGATCCTTTAAAATAAATATTTAAAGGGATAGTTCACCCAAAAATGAAAATTCTGTCATCATTTACTCACCCTCAAGTAGTTTCAAACCTGTATGAATGTCTTTGTTCTGCCGAACACAAAGGAAGATATTCTGAAGAATGTGGGAAACAGAGCAGTTCTGGGGCACCATTGACCTCCATAGTATTTTTTTTCTCCTACTATGGAAGTCAATGGTGCCCCAAAACAGCCTGGTTACAAACTTTCTTCAAAATATCTCCCTTTCTGTTTGGCAGAACAAAGAAATTTATACGGGTTTGGAACTACTTGAGGGTGAGTAAATGATGACAGAATTTTCATTTTTGGGTGAACTATCCCTTTAATTTATTGCATGCTACAGCACAGCCCTGCTGAAGAAAACCAGCTTAAACCAGCCTAAGGTTTTTTTTGTGCAGGATTTTTTACTTTGTTTACAAAACTTTCTTTTGTAAATGGACACATTCAGTTCAAACTATGCCAGAATGGTTTTACATATGATTTTCATTCTACTCAATTTCATGATTTAGACCCGTAGGTTGTTTTTTTTCCTTCTATGATGTTCGCAACTCTCTTGTAAAATGTTTTTCATGGATGAAATTGCACTGTTTTCTATATTTTTCTATATTGTGATTGTCTAGTTTCATCTCAGTCCAGTTATTTGACATGTTTTTGCTTATTTTGCATCATCAGGAGCAGTTTGAAGCTTTGTTCCGTGCGTTTGATCCCAGCACGTCGTTCCAGTTCTTCAAAAGCTTCAGACGGGTTCGGATCAATTTCACCGATGCGTTGGCGGCAGCCGAGGCCCGAGTCAAACTTCATAAGAGTGACTTCAATGGAAAGGAGATGCGTCTGTATTTCGCTCAGGTAAATAATCCTCACAAAGAAGTAATACATGGTACTCCAAGGTGCTCTAAAGTCTAGCATGGTACTTTTTGTTTAGTGATGAGAGCATTTGATTTATTATATTGTTCGTGGTCTTACATCTTAAAGGAATGGTTCATCCAAGATGTAGATGAGTACATGTAACGTTACATGACTTTCGCAGCAATGGATGCTCTGCAGTGAATGGGTGCCGTCAGAATGAGAGTCCAAACAGCTGATAAAAACATCACAATAATTCACAAGTAATCCACAGCACTCCAGTCCATCAGTTAACATCTGAAGAAGACAAAAGCTGAGTGTTTTTTAAAAAAAAAATCCATCATTAAGGTGTTTTTAACAATGTATTGATTCTGGCAACAAGTCCTGTATCCGTAATAAAGCTGACTCCAGTGAAAAAGTGTTCTGGTGTGAATCAGGAGAGAAATCTGCACAGATCAAGCAGCGTTTAAACAGCTCTAAACTAATATGTGGCTGGATTTTAATGTGAGAGACAACAGAAGATGGACGTTTTCACCGGAGGAAGCGTTATTATAGATTATAGACTCATATTTTAGCCGGCAGCAATGATTTAAAGTTAAAACATCTTAATGCTGGATGTGTTTCAGCTTTTGTCTTCTCCAGATGTTAACTGATGGACTGGAGTGCTGTGGATTACTTGTGGATTATTGTGATGTTTTTATCAGCTCTCATTCTGACGGCACCCATTCACTGCAGAGCATCCATTGCTGAGACACTGATGCAATGCTACATTTCTCCAAATCTGATGAAGAAACAAACTCATCTACATCTCGTATGACCAGAGGTGGTGAGAACATTTTCAGCAATTTTTTTCATTTTTGTGTTTGATTTTCATGAATGCATGAAATATTAAAATGTATATCTTGAATGCGATGTCAGTCGCTTTGGATAAACGCATCTTAAATGTAAATGCAAATGTTTTTGTCTCTTTCTGATTTGTTTGTTCCTTGTTTCCTCCATTTCCTCTCTTCTCCCGTACAGTCAGTACATATCGGCAGTCCTCGTCTTGAGCCTCCTAAACCAGAGAAGCAGTTCCTCATCTCTCCTCCAGCGTCGCCCCCTGTAGGCTGGGCGCAGTCGCAGGACGCTAAGCCCATCATCAACTATGACCTGCTGTGTGCTGTGTCTAAACTAGGACCAGGTATAACCTATTTACCTCATTTCCATGGTATACCTTGAGACTAAAACCTTTTTGAGTGCTGCACTATATATATCAACAGCATATGCTGTGTATACAGTCAGTAAGATTTTTTGAAGACATGAATATTTTTACTACGCAAAGATGCATTCAATTGATCAAAAGTGACTGTAAAGACATTTACACTGACAAAGTTTTTTTTATGTTATTGAAAGAAGCCTCTTCTGCTCAACAAGGCTGTGTTTAATTGATCAAAATTACAGTAAAAATTTTGAAATATTATCGCAATTTAAAACAGCTGTTTTCTATGTGAATTTATATTAGAATTCTATTATATTAGAATGATTTCTGAAGATCATGTGACACTGAAGACTGGAGTAATGATGCTGAAAATACAGCTTTGATCACAGAAATAAAATACATTTTTCAATATATTCAAGTAAAAAACAGTTACTTTAAATGTAAATATTATTTCACAGTATTACAGTTTTTACTGTATTTTTTTAATCGAATAAATGCAGCCCCAGTGAACAGAAACGTTCAAAAACATAAATTTTTTTTTTTTTGATTCTGTATTCTATATCAGTACAATATCAGTTAGTGGAATAATTGATGTTTGCAATGTTTTCATGTATTTTCAGGAGAACAATACGAGCTCCACACTGGAACCACTAACACACCCAGTGTGATCGTACACGTTTGTGAGGACGACAGCTCCGACGGCGAAGACGAGACAGGAGAGGGCGGCAAACCTGCGCGACCCAAGATCATCCAGACCCGCCGCCCAGATTACGTCCCATCCGTCAACCAGTGAGCGGCTAATTCAGGGCCGTTTCATCTTCGCAACCAACACTGGAATAACTAGGAAGCATGCGGTCATGCAGCACCGGGGAGGCCGGCGAGCATCAGATCCTCTTCCTAGTTAGCGAGGGAGTCGACCATCCTCATATCTCGCGTTTCATTTCTTACCATCCATCTCTGATGGAGTCAGGGACTTTGAGAACTTGGGAGAGTCCCTCTCATCTTACGAATGTCATTATTTGCTTGACGTCACAACTGTGTATTTTAATAATCCGAGAGAAAAGCTGAAGGAGTTTTCGTGCAGCACAAACAAACTGAACATCGTGTCTGAAGTGTGTATCGTTCGGGGCCACTAACATGTACTCATCGCCATCATCATGTATCATCTCTACGTTTAGTCACTCGTACAGTCTTTGAAAGTCATTATTATTGTTGCTGAATTTCTTCACGAGCTCCAAGTATTATGCACTTTAAAAATAGAGCCTTATAATGTGGTAAACGGTAACACTTTACAATAAGGTTCATCACTTTAGTTAACATGAACTAAGAATGAACAATACTTCTACAGCATTTACTAATGCATTATTAAAATAAAAAGTTGTGCTTGTAAACATTAGTTAATGCACTGTGAATCAACATGAACTAACAATGAACAACTGTATTTTCATTAACATGAACAAAGATGCATAAATACTGTAATAAATGTATTGTTCATTGTTTGTTTAAGGGAACCTTATTGTAAAGTGTTACCTGCTAAACTGACAACAACATGAAGTACTTGTCTTTGTATATCGAGCGCAGCTGTGAACGCCGACTTTTCCCGCCTTGGTAACGCAAGTGTTTTCCCGTTCATTTTCTCCATGTATCACCACATTTGATTTCATACAAAAAGGTATTTGAAAATTGGATCAAAAAGACACTTGTACTAAATTGTGTACTTGTATTATAAAATAAAATGTTGGCTATACATAATTGGCTCCATGTAAAAATAGAACAGGTGTATTGACAATACTATGAAAAAAAAAATGTTGCATTAAAGTTTCACTCAGAAATTCATAATAAATTTCTAAATGACACATTCAATTTGTGAAAAAATAAAATTGTACTTTCTTGTACAGTGTACGCAACCATCTGTTTTATTTACAACTTTGAAAAGAAAACAAATTTAAAGGGATATAAATAGTTGGCTGTATGAATAAATTAAAACATTGATTATACACTGAACAAATTTGGTTCACTCAGAAATTGCTAGTAAATTGCACAAACAATTACAAAGAAACAGCAAGTCACTAAATTAAACGAATTTGTTAAAGAAAAACTAAAAATAATTTTTTTGTTGTCATTTTAGAAGTTTTTTTTCTTATGAAATGTACTCAAAATCATTTTACAGTTACATAATTGGCTGTATGTATAAACTAAGGAAAAATATTGACTATAAATAATTGGCTGCATGTATAAAATTAAATAAAAAATATTAACTGTACGTTTAAAAAAGAATTGGTGTAGAATTTTGACACTTTGAAATTGCTAGTAAATTTTACAGTTACAAAGAAACTACACGTAACCCATTATATAAAACATGACATTTTAAAATAAACTAAAATAAAAGTCATTTGCAGTGCATCATGGGAGTGAGCATTCGCTTTTAACCTGTTTGTTATGATTTCCATTTCCATATCAACAGTGACTTTTTCTGATGAATTAAACAATGATTTAAAAAAATCAAATAAACCCACAGAAGCACATATGATCTCCTAACAACCCTAATCAATCATTATGGAGAAAATAAATGTGATTTCTCTGGCAGACGTTCACTGTTGTGCTCTGTGACTTCTTGTGCTCTACTGTCTTTGGAGATGTTGTCCTCTTTTCCATTACTGTAGGAGACGTTCTGCTGTCAACCAGTGATTTTAAGCATCTATAACATACTGTGCATATTTGATGTATTTGAATGTAGCCAATATCTTAAAAGAACTTGAGGATTTCTATCAACAACAACAACAACAAAAATCTTATTCGTTAGGTTGAAATATAGAGGGAGGAAGCATTGACCTACCTTTAATAAAACTATCTTGACCAAAGAACTGAATCTAGTGTTTATTCATGTTGTTTGAACCAGTCTTTGACTAACAGAAGATGAAAATTAATTTCATTTTTAATCATTTATCAAAGGTGTAACGACTCAGAACAAAGCTAAGACCAGTATACACAAAAACACAGTGCAGTTGTTGATCGCTAGATTTGGAATATTCCAACTAGTTTTTTTTTTTTTAAGCATTCATATTTCTCCAAGCATGATGTTGGTATGAACCAAACGAACATCAGAATCGCTCAGTCGTTGGCTGTTGCTCATTTTCTGCGTGATAATGCAGGATCAGCAGCTTAAGAATGATCTGCTTCATAATTAAAATTGCTTTCAAATGACGTCAGGACAGCAAAATGCATCAAGCAATGATGCTCGAGTTTCTTCTAAATGTGCTCGTGTGTTCGTAAAAACTGAAATACTCTATAATTCAAGAGCAAAATGTATCTGTTATTTCACCCCAAAGCAAAGAAAAATATTGAATAACGCATAAAGATTTTTGCATCATGAGCAAGTACAAAAAATACAATTATTATACATTATAGTTATTAACTTAGGTATTCTATATATTATTATAAATGTTAATAGGTTAATTAAAATACTATATATAATCTATACTTAACTAACAATAGTTAAGAAATGTTATATATAAAATAGTGCGATTAATCGCATACAAATATTTTTGTTTGCATTATATACAGTATGTGTGTGTTCTGTGTATATTTATTATGTATACATAAATACACACAGTATATATTTACATGTCTATATTTGTATTCATATAATTTATTATAAATATATATATTTAATATATAGACATAACCTATTTTTCTGAAATATATACATGCATGTGTGTGTATTTATATATACATAAATATGTACACAGCACACATACATATATTATGTAAACAAAAACATTTATTTTGGATGCCATTAATCGTTTGAAAGCACTAACATAAAATAAAAAAGTATATATATAAAAAAAAATGTGTGTATATATATATATATACACATTAATAAATATTTAATAAATTAATGAAATATAATAATTCATAATATATGTATATATATAATTCATATACATTTCATAAACTGAGATTTTGGTTATCCAGGTTTCAAAGCTCAAGCATGTTAAACTCTGTTTCATCTACATTAAGTGTCATTTATAGCAGGTTATTTTCCAGAAAGCAATGAGGTATTGATAAACAGGTCGATGTAACCTTGTCCTGCTCATATTTCATTTCTGCAGCTCACAGTCGCTTCATTCAGCAAGAGGATCTGTACAGCAGCACCTGCTGGTCATGCACAAAACTCTATGTAATACAAACTGATTTGTCTGATTCATGAATACCACAATTCAGAACTATTTAAGTTATGAACACAAAGCATAATTGGATATAGGAATAAAAACATTTTTATTTACAAACTTCCGAGATAATAAATAAAAACGGTGTATAAAAAGCAAGACTTGTGCAGCAGTCCATGTTGCCGAGGCTTTTGCTTTAACATCTGAATCCACACGTCACGCTGACAGCACTGCTGCAACAAACACAGAATTAACCCTGAGAGGGGCGAAGTATCCCGAGGGAAGCTTTGGTCGATCTAGTTCACATACTCACACACGCTGGAGGGGACTTACCGGTTTAAAAATTATTAGATGCTTACATTTTTTGTAATCTGTGTCTAAATGTTTGTATCTCAGGAGATACGTCGCCCTTTTAGGGGTATAATAAATCAAGACATAATAGCATATATACAGACTCATATATATACTGTATATAGAGAGAGAGAGAGAAAATCAAATCTTTTTGTAATCTTGATAAAACACATTTTGCTGGAAAGGTCTGACAGTCAAGGTTCCATCTGTGACCCTGCAGCACAAGAGCAGTGTTAAGTCGCTGGGGGATATTTGTAGCAATAGCCAACAATACATTGTATGGGTCACAATTATACATTTCTCTTTTATGCCAAAAATCATTAGGATATTAAGTAAAGATCATGTTCCATGAAGATATTTTGTAAAAGTCCTACCGTAAATATATCAAAACTTAATGTTTGATTAGTAATATGCATTGCTAAGAACTTCATTTGGACAACTTTAAAGATGATTTTCTCAATATTTAGATTTTTTTGCACCCTCAGATTCCAGATTTTCAAATAGTTGTATATCGACCAAATATTATCCCATACATCAATGGAGAGCTTATTTATTCAGCTTTCAGATGATGTATACATCTCAATTTAGAAAAATTGACCCTTATATGACTGGTTTTGTGCTCCAGGGTCACATATTTGGTTATAGAAGTGATATTGTGACAGAAAATTATTGATTTGTGACAGAAAACTTCTGAAACATTTGCAAAAAAAATCTATCAGTAAACAAAATCTCACAGGAACCACAACTGTTTTGATATCAATTTCAAATTTGGAACATAACTTGGTTAGATATATGGCTTTGATTTCATAGAAATTTTAGAATGCAACCTATTTTATAAAATATTTACTTTATATACAATAAAATAAAAATAGTATACTACATTATCTTTACTGTAAACGTAAACTTTATTTATACTTATTTTGAAATGCTTTCACTTCAGCAATAATCTGCTATGTGTCTTCTTTAAAAAAAAAAAGAGACCACCCTTAGGTCTGTATTCCAAAGCGTTGAGGAATTACAACATGTTGTAACAAGCGTTGATAAACAAGGGCTGTTTTCAGTGAATTTATACCCCCAAAGGGGCGACGTATCCTGGGGGATACTAACATTAAAATCCAATATAAGAGTCAAGTTTAGAAAACAAATCATGACATTTTATTATTTGCAATAAATTCATTTTCTGATGCCCTTTTTAGGGTTAAACACACTGCCATTACTCAGCTCAGGTTCTGTCAATCGTGCGTTTATTCACCTGTTTTCCACACGTCAGTCGTCCTTCTTGTTATCGATGAGCTCCTGCGTTTGCAGAGCGAGTTTCCTCTGCATCTCCATCTGCTGTTTCAGAGCAGCTTCTGCTTTCTTACTCTGGTAGATCTTCGTTCCAGCAAACGCCAAACACAACACGAGCGTCTTCAGTGCCAGGATGTACAGCAGCACCGGCACGTCATCCAGAGCCTGACAACACAGTTACACACGCCATTAAGACAACAACAACAACACAAAACTCCCATTACAATACAACACACACATCATATCATTACCAGACCTTATTGTTACGACTGTGAAATCATCAAAACTAAATATGCAATCACATTGGAAAAAAATAAATAAAAAGGATTGTTACATTGTTTCACTCCTCTGTGTGATACAGTTTTGTTATTGTTAACTCAAACTGTTAAAAAAACATTTTCGCCAATTGAAATATTACACGAAAAACTTAAACCTAAATTTAAATTTGAAACGCTGATTTGGCCACAAACTGAAATAATTTTAATTTG